TCCGATTACGAGCTATGGTAACCTGCAAAGAATGATTTCATCATGTTTAACCTATAATAAAGGAATGTAGTAATTAGAACCAATCCGAAGAAGGGTAAATAAATCAAATACCTGCTTGTCCCAATTACCTGATTTCATCATTTTGTTAAGAAAATGAAATCAGCTTCAATGATCTGGCTTCTACTTACAGTTTCAATCAAAAATAAAATGAAATCAGCTTCAATGAACTAAATTTTATTTGCTAGACTAGATTCTACATTGGCTAATTTTAAAAACATACAATGCAAATGATATGAAAGATCAACAATTCCACGGTTCTTCAATTTCCAGAAACTCAGATTGCATCTTAATTCTTCACCAATAGCCAAGCAACAAGAGATACAAGACTGATAATCACCAGCTTTTAAGATAATTGTACAATCAACAGTTGAAAGATGAACAGTGAGATAAGCAAGTTATAGAAAGGACAAGAAGAATCATTCAAATCACATCATCAATGGTTTCAAGCCTTTCAGATTATTAAAATAAACAATATTTGATCTCACCTGATTAATATCAACAATATCTCCATAAGTTCCAAGTCAAAGTGAGAGGTATCACATTAAAATTAAATTATAGAAAATAAAAGGCACCAGCAGATTTTTTCCCAGCACTGGTAAATTCCAACCAAATCTCATCATTTCTTGTAACTTCACAATGCTGGATAAATAGGAATTAAATGGTCAAAAGGAATAGAGAACATTACATACCCTGATTCTTCTAGTTTGTCTCTGTTGGTGGTGTTTTCATGCTTCCACCCCAGTCACTGGTGAAAACAAACTCTCTCTATACATAACTGATAAACATAAAATTGAAGCCAGCCAATAAGGATCCCACCATAGCAACATAAAAAAAATAACATGGAAGAAGGCACTAAGCCAGCCATATGGGAGGTATTATAATTCATAAAGCAAAAGCTTCATAAGCAGAAAATCAGACTGAAAAAGCAGTGACTTTTACAATCCACCAATTACACCAACATATATACCATAGAAGCTTAACAAAATCATCAAAATAGAAATTGAAAGTACAATTGATTTTTGAAACACAATTCAACTGAAAATAAACAATGGTCAATCAATATCAAGAGCAACTGAGGTCGAACAGGTAGCATCTTGTTGGGAAACCATCTCTGCAAAAAAAAAAAAAAAAATCTGATTAATTATTAAATCACAATATAATAAAAACATCTTAATTAATTTTATTATCTTACCCTCCTCAATTCTCTCAAGCTCCTCAAGGTCTTCATTTGAAAGCTCCAAAAAAGGTGTTCGTTTTACCTAATCTTGTGTGCAGACAAGCGCTTCCACTGTTTTAGCTGTTAATCTACTACGGTAAGGATCAAGTACCCTTCCTCCAGTGCTAAATGCTGACTCAGAGGCTACAGTAGAGACAGGTATAGCTAACACCTCTCTAGCAATGCTTGCAAGTATTGGAAATCGACTTGAATTTGCTTTCCACCAAGTTAAGATATCAAAATCTGAATAGTTCTCTATAGCTTCATCCTGGTACTTATTTAATTCAGATTTAGCATTTGATTTTTGCCCAGTTGTTTGCTGAAAATGATTAACAAAATCATCATCATCATCATCATCGAACTGTGTTTCCTGTGAATTATCTTGAGACACCCCTTCCTTGCCAATATATTCTTCAAAAATGGACTTCAAACACCTCTCTAACTTCTCTCTCAAGCCAGCTGCCTCACCACTATTAAAACTATCTTTAATAGACCAATGTAAGAAACTCATTTTGCACCTAGGATCCAGTACAACTGCAATCAGCAACAACATATTCAGATTATCAGGATTTCCCCAATACTTATCATATTTTTTCTTCATCCTTTGAGCCATCTCACTTACACTTGAATCATTAGACTCGCACATCTCTCGAATCTCTTTCCAATTTTGAATACCTCTATCATATATCTATTACTGGTAACATAAGAAGTACCAGAAACAGACAAAGTAACTCGATAGAAGATCTTTAAAAATGGCAAAACTAACCGAGCATAGTACCAGTCTTCATATGTAGGCACACCCTTGCCTTTTTCTAACTCATGATAATAATTCTTATCTTGCAATTCAAGCTGCTCAAATGCCCTTTTGTGCTTCAAAGCTGCCTCTAACATAAGATAAGTTGAATTCCATCTAGTTTCAACATCTAAACTAGGTGCACCCTTGTATTCAATCTTTTGCTTTTCTGCACACGCCTTGAATTTTTCAAACCTGGATGGAGAAGATCTAATCTAATGTATTTAACTGCAGCACGGATTCTTAAAATGGAATCGTCCATATCTTTCAATCCATCCTTCACTATTAGGTTCAAAATATGTGCAAAACACCTCATGTGAATATGATCTCCCTTCAAAACTAAGTTGCTCTGAAGCATTAAACTCTTCTTTAGGTTTTGAACCCCAGTATCATTCGATGAAGCATTGTCAACTGTCAAACTAAACACACGATTCAACCCCCAGTCATTCAAGCATGACAAAACAGTTTTAGCCATAACTTCTCCAGAATGACTTTTGACTTGGCAAAAGTTTAAAAATCTTCTTGTGCAGCTTCCAATTTTTATCAACAAAGTGTGCAGTCAAACACATATAACACATATTTTGACACGATGTCCAAGTGTCTGTGGTGAGGCAAACTCTTGTACAATGCACAGCAAGAAACTTCTTCAACTTCACTTTTTCTACTTGATATAATGTCAAAGCATCACGTGCCATTGTAGTTCGTGAGGTAAGATTAAATTTCGGACTTACAATACTGATAAACCACCGAAAGTCTTCATTCTCAATAAATCGAAAAGGAAGCTCGGTAGCCACTAACATTTTCACAAGTGCATCCCGGCAAACTTGTTGGTCAAATCTAGCAACCGTCGAAGGGGAAGAACCAGCTTGTCCTTCTGTAGCTCCAATTGAGGATAAAGATGATTTTCTCCTTTTGTTTTTATCTCTATCTAGATGATCCTTACACCTCTTCAAATGAGTTCGCATAGAACTCATTCCCTTATCACACTTGATCGTACAACCACAATAATTGCAATGGGCTTTTTTATCTGAGTTAGGCTCCGAGAAGTGATCCCAAACTTCTGATCGATTCTTGCGGTTATTAAATCGAGGCGGTAACGAGCTATTAGAATTAGAGACAACTTGTGGAGTAGAAACTAGATGCTATGTTGTCTCTGAGGTAAAAAATTCATCTTGAATACCTATTGATTCCATCCTGGTGTTTCCCCTGAAAAAGAGATTGTCTAGTAAATTGGGCAAAAGACAAAAGACATATATGATGATATATTTCAGCTATTTGGAAAATAATTAAGAGCTTAAGTTAATACATGGCTTTTTTATCCGACCATTGAAGATTATTTCAATGCAAATCAGTTTTAACTTTTTTTCTCATATTTCATGTTAGTTGTATAACAGCCAATAACAAAAGATAATGATTTACATTATTTTCTAAGCTTGTTTTCTCTAAAGGGTGCTATATTTATAGTGAACTAGTTCAGTTGAAAAGGCTGCACTCCACTAGTGACTAGTGAGCAACTCATCTATCAAGATTTTAAGCAACTTTGATAAGTTGTTACCCACAAAAATCTGTCTAGCATCCTTTACAGATTTGTTTCAGCACAGAAACTAAATTGTTTGCTCTTATTTTTTTGAAAAATTAACTCAAATCCCTTCAACCAATTTATGGCTTCCAATGTGGTCATTTCACTAGCAATACTACTTTTATCAGTGCTAATTCTAGCAGTAAGTTCAGATGCTAGTGGGATTGCTATTTACTGGGGTCAAAATGGAAATGAGAGTCTATAGATGGAAGTTATCCAGTGTAGGGTGTGCAATGGCATAAAGCATTCAAAGATATTTAAGGTAGCTAGAAAGCTAGCTACCTGTGTTCATTGAGCTAGCTAGAAAGATTTATATCATCACCATCAGTATGCAAAGTAAATAGTCAAAATCACTAAGTCATAGTTGAAAATGCAATATACATCTCCAAAGGAAAACAAGCAAAGAACAAAAATAGTTGATAAAATGGCAATAAAAGTGACCATAAATAACAATTAAACAGAAATTAAATAATGAATCCAACATTTACCAACCGTCAAAATAATAGTAAACAGAAGCATGAAAAAACTGGCAACTTTACAGGGATAACATCTCTGCCTTAAGCTCTAAGAAGAAAAGGTTAACATGTATTTCAACTATACACACTAAACTTATTTCTCCACTTCCGTCTTGTTTAAAATAGTAGAAACTCAAAACTGATGCCTAAATTTTTTTCCATTCCAAGTATATGTACCACTATCACAAACAAGAACATGTGCCGCAAGTATATATTTATCCAAACTGAAGAAAGTAGAAGTATACTTACTACGTCTGCAATCACATGATCAAGAGAAGGAACATAACCATGCAATCCATCACTCCCTCCATGCCCTGTAAAATAAAACAATTAACTCCAGACCTTTTACAAAAATATAAGTAACCCCCCCCTCTCTTGTTACATACAGGTTGAAAATGATATAACCATGCCTATTACCGTATAATCCAATAACAGGAATTTAACTCCTATTAAGTTTATAAAAGAAATATCCTGTATCAATGAGGATCTCAAGATTTATAAAATGAGAAAAAGAGCACTGAGTCAGAGGTGGGGGGCGCAAAACCATAAATCTTATCATCTTATATACACAATCAGTAAGAAAGATTTAAATATATTGACATTACACAATCAGTAAGCTAGCATGGGCTCAAGGTACCTTCAACCACAGCTTGATTTGTTTTCTTAATAGTGATCCATTTAAGAGTTAGTTCTCCTACCTTGTCGAAAATGGGAAACTCAGCTTTGAACCATACTGTGCCCCAAACTGATTGGTTCCTGGCTATCTCTTCATTGGTTCCTGGCTCCTGTGCCCCAAACTAATTGCATGGAAATGCCAGAATTTCAAGTCCTGCATAAAGAAGATCGCATTTTAAAAAAGGGGTTAATAGCCATTTAAAGTATCCAAAGAAAATAGCCACCGCGCAAAGACCTTAAAGGGGTTCATGGTTGATGATACATAGGAAAACACATAAGTGAAACAAAACAAAAAGCAAAAATAAAAATCTGAAGAGAAATGAAAAATGATTGAGAACGCTAAGCCACAAGCCACCACCGTTACCAATTCGATGAGAACGAGCAGCGAGATTGAGAAATGATTGAGACGGTGAACTTAGGGTTCATGAGCTGAGCAAAAATATGCTTCGATTAGGAACGAGATCGATGAGTCATTGAGTTATGTTATGTAAATGGGTTGGTTTGGTTCGACCTGCTTAAAATCCAGTTTTGAAATGGGTCTGAATTGGATTGTTTTAAATAATAGAACCGGTTCAACTTTCCGAACCAATTTTAAAAAAACCGGTTATTTTGGTTCAATTTGGTGTGGTTCTTGATGTGGTTCAGTTATTTTAGATTTTTTATACATCGCTAGTGGTTGCCATGGATTTCTTATGGTGACGTGCTACAATATCTTCCCCTAAAGCCTTTAATTTTGGAACTTAACTGTTGAATCCACCATTTACATTAGTTTTTGCCCCATCCACTATACCAAATAAAAGATTAATTGGCCCAGTAGGCTCTGAAAAAGAACCTCGAAATGCAGTTATGTCTTAAATGTTGATTGTTGACCATCTTTTCAGATTTCATAATAGTCTTAAGAGCACTTTATGGGAATCATGGATACATCATTTTTTTGGTCAAACATGAGAAGACTGCAAATCAGCAAGTCATTGTTTTCTGAATGAACAAGGAAAAAAAAAAGATTTGACCGGAAAAAGAAAAGGAAAAATAAAAGGCTATCCGAAGGATAGTACAATACTGAACCAGTCACCCAATTATTTTGAAGGAAATTTATGATGATTTACAGTTCAAGACATCCTCCAAGTTGACGCCTCTTTCTTCTTATGCTGCTTTCGCTTGCTGTCAAGAGAACAAAAAGAAAAATTTGTCAATTTTATTTGTGTATTGCTATATTGCCTAATGCATTTTGAAGACCAAGGTAAAATCCATTCAAAAGTACACCGTTAAAAAGCATATATGCCAAAAGTGGTTTATTTGTGACTTGCCAAAGCAAATTAACTTTTAAAGTTTCAACCAATTTAATATGCAGTTGTGGTAAAAAAACAATTGAAACAAGACTCTCTCGCTTCTCTTCCTCCATCCTGGCTTTGATGAGCGAGTAGATTGCCACTCCTGCAATAGCAATGGCTGTTCCAATACCAGTTTGGGTGGAAATCTTGTTACCTGTGTGAAGCAATTAGCCAGTCAGAACGTTAGAATCTCAGGAATATAACTTTTTCTTTAAGGGCATGGAAATCTAAAAGCAAATGAATAAACATTCGTGAAACTTTGAAGTACAGCAGTATGGAAGAAAACGATATTTACCGAAGACTAAAATTGAAAATACAATCACAAATACACGTTTCAGTACGTTGCCAACTGCATGAGTGAGAGGAGCCACTCTCTCCAGTGTGTTAGTCGCCACCTGGTGATGAAAAATGTAGATATATATATATATCATTGCCACTTCACAAAAAGAAATTGTGTTTCTCCAATAAGAATTAAACAGATGAACAACAATAAGAAACTCCTTCACCCAGGTAGGAACAGGCCATAAATAAATAAATGAATTGAAACAAGTTATTTAGTATATTTCAAACTCATCAAAAGTTTAAACTATCACATAGAAAAGAAGGATTTACTTGGTTGTACAGGTGGTAAAACATCCCAACCCAGAAGAGATCTGTGATGAACTTGACCATACCTACTTTAGCAATTGCATCATTGAACCCGTGCTTCAACAGTGTAGGCCCTTCGAGCTGTGGGATCAAATAATGAATGAATTAGGAAGGAGATACCAAAAACAAGAGCAACATATTATATAAAAGTCACAAATTATAATATGTTAAAAAACGAGTTTTGAATTTGTTAAAAAACGAGTTTTGAACTTGATAACCGGTTTATGGTTCATAACCGGTTTTGATTTTATTGAAAAAGGTTTCTGTATATTGATAATTGAATAAATTACATGAGTGTGTATTTATACAAGAAAGAATCGCTAAGAATGACTAATCAATCCTAATTAATAGGAAATAAAAACGGAAACATATTTGAATTCTGATTTTCTACACTCCCCCTCAAGTTGGGAGGTAAATGTTGATCATTCCCAACTTGCCAATCAAGTCTTCGAATGCTGGACGGTGTAGGCCCTTGGTAAGAATATCTGCAGTTTGCTCTTTGGTTGGAACATATATCATACGCACACTTCCATCATCTAATTTTTCTTTGATGAAGTGACAATCAACTTCCACGTGCTTTGTTCGATCATGATGCACAGGATTTTGAGCAATGCTAACAGCTGCCTTGTTGTCACAATATATTTTTATTGGTAGGGAATATGAAATCTTCAACTCTTGAAGAAGTCTTCTCAACCAGATTCCTTCACAAACTCCATGACCTAAAGCTCGAAATTCTGCTTCAGCACTACTTCTTGCAACCACTGTTTGCTTTTTGCTTCTCCAAGTAACAAGATTTCCCCACACATAGGTGCAATAGCCTGAGGTAGATCTCCTGTCTACTGATGAGCCTGCCCAATCTGCATCAGTGTAGATTTCAATTGTCCTTTTATACCCCTTTTTAAAGAATAATCCTCTTCCTGGAGTGTTCTTGAGGTATCTAAGCACCCTATAGACTGCACTAAGATGCTTCTCCTTGGGTGAGTGCATGAATTGACTAATCATACTCACGGCAAAGGCAATGTCAGGACGCGTATGAGATAAGTAAATTAGTTTACCAACCAATCGCTGATATTGTTCTTTATCCACCCCATTCCCATCTTCAATACCTAACTTGGTATTAGGTTCCACAGGTGTCTCAGCAGGTTTACACCCTAACATTCCTGTTTCCAACAAAAGATCTAGAACATATTTCTTTTGTGTGAGAGTGATGCCTGTTTTGCTCCTAGCAACTTCCATACCAAGGAAATATTTGAGAGTGCCAAGGTCTTTGAGTTCAAATTGAGCTGCTAGAAATTTCTTCAAGGTGTTCAATTCCTCAATATCATCACCTGTAAGAATTATATCATCTACATATACAATAAGAATAGCAATTTTACCATCCTTAGAGTGTTTGTGGAAGAGAGTATGATCAGTGTGTGCTTGAATGAAGCCTCTTCTTTTGACTGCTTGTGTGAATTTGTCAAACCATTCTCTGAGAGACTGTTTCAATCCATATAGAGACTTTTTTAGTTTACGCACTGATCCATTTCACTTTTCAAAACCAGGTAGACTACCATTTAGGAATGCATTCTTCACATCTAACTGTTGCAGAGGCCAATCTAGGTTGGCATCAAGAGATAAGAGAACTCGGATGGTATTGACTTTAGCAACCGGAGCAAAAGTCTCATGATAATCTATCCCATGAGTCTGAGTGAAACCCTTTGCAACCAATCTTGCCTTGTATCCGTTGATGCTATTATCTGCATTGAATTTTATTGTAAACACCCATTTGCATCCTACTGCCTGTTTTCCCTTGGGTAGGGTCACTATCTCCCAAGTTCCATTTTTTTCTAAAGCATTCATTTCTTCAAAGACATTATCCCTCCATTTTTTATCATCAAGAGCCTCATGTATATTTCTCGGTATCTTTGTACTATCCAACATAGTATTGAAAGCACGGAACCCTGGGGACAACTTTCCATATGAAATATGATTAGAAATAGGATGAGTAGTACAAGATCAAGTACCTTTTCTGAGAGCAATGGGCAAGTGTAGATCATTTTCACCATGACACTCAAGTGTTGGGGTGCTGGAACTAGAACATGGTTCAGAATCTTGGCAGTGTAGAGGCTCTGGGTTATTCACACTTTGAGGAGGCTTTCGCCTGCTATAAACTTGTCCCCATTTTGAGGAGGCTCCTGATGGTGAGGATTCTGTAGCTCCCCCTGTTTTCAAAAGTAGAGGTAATACTGTGGCATCAGTAGGTTCCCATGTCTGATATTCATCTACTCCTATAGACTCCCCCTGAAGAGAAGTCAAGGGGAAGAAATGGTCATTCTCAGAAAAGGTGACATCCATAGAGAAAAAGACCTTAGGAAGAGAGGGTGAATAATACTTATAGCCACGTTGAGTAGAAGAATAACTAATAAAGACACACTGGAGAGACTTGGGATCAAGCTTAGACTGTTGATGGGAGAGAATATGGACAAATACAACGCAACCAAATAACTTGAGAGGTAAGGAGGAGACACCTCGGAAGGAAGGGAAGGTACGAAAAAGACTAGAAAGAGGAGACTGAAACTTTAGAATGCGAGATGGCATTCGATTTATCAGATACGAGGCAGTGAGAACTGCCTCTCCCCAAAGATATACCCAACAGACTCGGGAATGGTCATCAATGAAGGTAATGAACCATCGAGTACCTGAAATATTTTTAACACGGGCTGGACCCCATATGTCACTATGAATTAAGGAAAATGGGGAAGAGTCATGGTGAACTTTAGAAGGATAATGAGCACGAGTATGCTTGGCAAGTTGACAAATATCACAAGAAAACAAACTAGGACTTTTATTAATAAATAAGTTTGGTAACAACTTCTGAAGATAAATAAAATTTGGATGACCTAGCCTACGATGCCACAGCATAACATCATTACATGAATCAAAAGGAAACATAGAGTTTTTTCCTACGAAACCAGCTTCATTAGTCACATCCTCCTCAAAGTAGTAAAGTCCACCATCCTCTCTAGCACTGCCAATCATCCTCTCCGAGTCCTGTTCTTGAAAAACACAACCATGTGGAAAGAATTTAGCAAAGCAATGCAACTCAGAAGTTAGCTTGCTAATGGAAATGAGATTACAAGCCAGAGAAGGAACATAAAGAACTGATGTCAAATTAATCAGCTCAGAAAGTTTAATGGTTCCGTGTCTCGCAATCTGGGAAAAACTGCCATCGGCGATCTTGACCCGAGAAGGTTCAGAATATGGAGTGTATGAACAAAACAAGCCAAGATTACCTGTCATATGATCAGAGGCTCCAGAATCAAGGATCCAATGATTTTGACTATCAACATGGAAAGTTGTACCTTGCTGGACCACATTACTAGTGGCCTTAGGAGGTTGAGTCAAAAGTCTCTGAAGTTGTTCAAACTGAGACTTGCTAAGAAAGACACCATCAGAGTCAGAGGATGCATGAGGCTCATCAACCTTGTCATCAGTAGAGACCTGATATGCACGACCTTTATTTTGTCCTTTGGGCTTCCAATTTGTAGGTTTCCCGTAGATTTCCCAACATTTCTCATAGGTATGACCAATTTTATTGCAGTAGGTGCACCATGGACGACCATCCCGTTTTGATTCTCCAGAGGAACGGTCAATGGTACGGTTGGCAGCTAATGCAGACATATCATCAGACTTATCAAGCGACTCCTTTTCTCCCAGCATAACTCTTCGTCTACTGGCTTCTCTACGAACTTCAGCAAAGGCGTCAGCAAGTGAAGGTAACGGTCGCTGCCCCAATATTCGACCACGAACCTCATCAAGATCTCGGTTGAGTCCGGCAAAGAAATCATACAGTCTTTCCTTCTCCAAGTGTTTTTTAAATTGGGTATTAGCTTCCAATCCCTTAAGATCGGATGCATAATAAAGATCCAATTCCTGCCATAAATTTGTTAGTGCAGTAAAATATTCAATAATAGTCATACCCCTTTGACGAAAGTCTCTCAACTTATTTCTCAGTTCAAAGACTTGAGAGGTATTCTCCAGATCAGAGTAATTTTTTTGAACAGCATCCCAAATTTCCTTGGCAGTATCGAAGAACAGATAGGTTTGGCCAATCTGTGGTTCCATGGAATTAGTCAGCCAAGCCATGACAAAGGAATTATTAATCTCCCAATCGTCATAATCAGGAGAATCCTCAGTAGGTTTCTTAATTTTTCCCTCGAGATAGCCCATCTTACCCTTTGCCCGGATGACCAACTTAACCGATTGAAACCATTGCAGAAAATTCTTACCGTTCAACCGGTGATTAGTGATCTGCAAACCTAAGTTGTCTCCAGAGGGCTGAGAATTTGGGGCAGATGAGGAGGCGGAAGAACGATTCAAGGAAGCCATGAATAGAAAGTGAAGGTTTGACCGTGGACCCATAAAAAAAAAAAAAAATTCTCCGATTTGATATCTGACCACTGGAGGAGGCCGACGAGGTGATATGGGAAGCTCGTGCCGGAAAAGGAGTCCAGGAAGGCGACGCGTGGACTACACGCGCCGGAGAGGGGCCGCGCGTGTGGTGGCGTGTGGCGGCGCGTGACGGCGACGGGTCTGGCTGCATTCAACTCGTCGGAGCCTTCTGAGTTGAATGGTACCTCCACCTTCTCGATTGGAGGTCTGTAGGTATGGTTTTCTGGGATTTGGGTTTAGGTGGGATTGTGTTTGGGTGGTTTTGGGATGGTTTCAGCCTTGAAGGTGGCTGATTTAGGGTAGGAACGAACCCGCTCTTGATACCGTATTGAAAAAGGTTTATGTATATTGATAATTGAATAAATGCATAATTAATTTATTAAAAACAAAACATTAATTTTTTTGCCCTTAATCAAGTCTAAGATGATGGAATTAGACTGATAAGGGGTTGATATATATATTCATTTATTTTGGTAAAAAGGGATTGATATATTAACATTACTGACTAGTACAATTATCAAGAATTAATGTATTATTTCAACATTAATATATCAAAATAAAAATTAATTTTTAATATATTAATTTTTAAAATATTGGAAATTTTTACTTTTATAAAAAATAATATATTTTGTACACTTGAT